ATATTCGCTCGCTATCTCCTTCAACATGTTGCTGCCCTGATAAAAAGGAAAATCTACATGCGCCACATAAACATTGCTAATAGAGAGTTGCTACGCCATACTCAATAAGGGGACGATAACGTTTAAAAACATCGCCTGCTCCTGATATCGGCTCACTATCTCCTTCATCATTCTGCAGCCTATATAATCGAAAACATGCTGGTATTGCGGACAAATGGGATGAGACCTCTTTTTGAGATAGTGGTATGTATGTATATTTAACGAATAGACTATTTTCTAAACAGTTTATTTTTTACATTTTACAAAAGTTGACAGAAAAAAGCATTTATACAATACATGAAATTGACTTGTACCTATATTAATTAACATTATTAACATTATTAACATTGGCATCAGCGGATCCTAGTTAATGGTTCCAATGGGAATGGAAGCTTAGGTGGCAGGTTCCACCGAAACTCGCAAGTTACATCAACTTGCGGTACCTACACAAGACGATAAATTAACTACGTTGAAATGTTTAGGCCTTTTCTAATTTACTTACTTTAACGTACAGGGCACTTCTCTATAATGCATAATTCAACAAAAAAAAAACTGGTAAAGTGAGTAAAATAATAACTATTTTGTCAAAAATAAAAGTGTATTGCAAAATTGCTGCTATGTATTACGATAACATAATTTTCAGAGAAAAATTCAAAAAGTGTTTTTCTCGTAGAAGAGTAAAATAGTTACAAATTCAGATCAAACAGACATTCAGATCACACATCAAAATCATAAAAAAGCAGTCGGCGAACAAGGCCATAAAACCAATTTAAATTGTTTTGTACTTTGCATACAATATTTGAATAATATAAAGGTAAAAATCATTCAAACAGGTTTATGTAATGAAGTGTGTATTTATATAATACAATATAAAGATGCATTCATCAGGCTTTGCATAGATAGAAGAACAGAAGTCATTAGATCATAATTTATGGCTGACCAAGCAGCTTCGAAATCAAACTTAGTAATTTTTAAAGACAAAAATTTTTGAGGCAAAATACCGACAAACAAACAGTTTGTGAAAACATGAATCCGCCTCAACAATATAGAACTTATCTATAAAATCTGGACATGCACCAGTTGTTGTTTTTACCAGCTCACTCACGTTATCTATGGATTTTTAATCGGGAGATATTTTACTTAATACGTCCCTCTACCACATTGGGTTTAAAATCACGCAAATCCAATAAATCAAAACCGAGTATCCACCTGGTTTCGGCAAATTCGATTTGGAATGGCGGCAGCCAGCATCTCGCCGATCATTAAAGTTGTCACGATGCGGTTTTCTTATTTGCTGAGTTTCAATCTGGGACATTCTGGGTTACCCAGTTAATTGAAGTTTGCTATCGGCAACATTTACGCTGTCCTTTTTTCTGAACGAAAGTAAATCATCGTGTGGAACTGAGTATTGGCCCATGAAATTTATTTAAAAGATTTTTAACGAATTTTAACATCAGTTTTTAAATGATGAATGTTGTTTATTTCATAAGTTCACATTATAAAAGAAACTTTACAGTTTGAGGAATAACATAGATTTAAATAGCCGTGGACAAGTCTTGATTCCCTTCATACCTATGGAATAAAAAAAAGGGCGTTTTTACTAAATTTAACTTTACCGTAACCAGTGATTATGAATTTGGGTTGATCCAACAATTATCTTCAGTTGTGTTTAATGCACTGCTAAGTCCGGGCTGAATGGTGTATATATTCTAGCATAACGTTAATCACACCAAATCCACAATAATCGCCGAACTTATACAGATTACGGCCACAAACTACAGTCTTATACCATCGGTCTCTCGATACCATTTTCAATGCTTGTCGAGATTCTCGGCGCAAATCGAATTTCGCAAACCCCCAGATGAGAAGTCGGTTTTGATTCATTGGATTACTCTGATTTCAAAACAAATAAATTTTCTTTTGCTTACATTCGTAAGCGGAATTAAATTAACTGTCCGAAATCTGATTAAGACCAAATGAGATTTATACGGGGTGTCAATTTGAAAACTTCCCATCCTTAAATTGGAAAGTCCCGTCAATTTCGTGTAAGGGGGACAATTGATAAAATAAGTTAATATTTTTGGCCTCCTTGTTTCAACCCCCTAGGACGGGTAGGTGTCACCCTTAGAATCTTAAAAGGGAAGGGAGTCAAGGGGCACGTCGTTTTAAAGGGCGTTCAATTATCTTAACATTAATTACTACTCTGTAAACAAAAATAAGGTCTGTTTTTGAACTATTCCCTAACATTTCGGAAAACTTCACCGAGAATTGACAGGCAGGCATTTTGCTGCAATTCGCCTTTTAAGATCATCAATATCAACAGGTTTTGTTTTATGGATGGGCAACAACCTTAAGATGTTCCCATAGAAAGAAGTCTAAGGGTGTACAATCCGGTGATCTTGGAGGCCATTCAATTGGTCCCCTTGTGCCAATCGACAATCCGGGAATATTTAATCAATGTTAGGAAGCGTTCGAAAATATGCTTTATTATTGTTTACAGGAAAATACACAACGTTTTGAACAACTTATATGATAGTGTAGTAGATCCCATGGGTTTCATTGTACAAATTTCTCTGCCGTAAATAAAAAGTGACATTTCCCGAAGTAAAATAATCAATAAACCCGAAATCTATTGTTTAAACACTAGATTTTCTTTCTATTATTCAACGATTTTAACGGTATAACCTAATCTTCTCATCATTTGTACTATAAGGAGGCCTAATGCCATCATTTTTGTTTAAACACGAATCTGAAACCCAAAATCTTAATACAGGCAAGTTTAATTGTTTCTGTAATTTTGAAACGCGATGATTCGAAAACCTCTGAACAAAAAGCAAGAAACTCTAAAAAACTAATATAAAGAAAATTGAACACCCTTTAAAACGATGTGACATTTCATTCCCATTTAAGATTCTAAGGGTGATATCAACCCGTCCTAGGTGGTTGAAACAAGGAGACTAAAATTATTCATTTAAAGTGTTCTCTTTACAAATAAAATGTACGGATCTTTCCGATTTTTCATATTTTAAACTGCAAGGAAGATATTAAGGAGTGGGAAGTTTTCAAATTGACACCCGGTATAGCTTGCCCATTGGATTTTTATTTGCAAGTATGGATAATAATACTGAGTTCAAACGAACAAGGTACACCATGTAGCTCGTTGTTTTTTCCATATAGAGAAACGGTCGCTCACTAATAATTCCGATTTTCCAGCCAGTAATGTTGGATATAAATGTACCTACTCAATTAGAGAATTTCGTTTTCAGATTTTCCGCTCACATAGTTGGTCGATTTACTTCCTCGAGTCGATAAATATTAATATTGGAAGCTGGCGAATGACAATTTTCTGCAATAATCCACCCCAAATTTGTGCCGTAGTGAAAGTCTCTTCAAAACCTTTTTCCTCGAAATGTTGCCTCAAA